AACTACATTTATAATGTTACAAAAGTTGTCTAATTCAAATAAATCTTACACTGTCATCTATTGGTCAGACAAACTGATTCTCCTGCCCCAAACTGACACCATTGGCTAATTTATACTTCAGGCCAATTATTGAAATGCAGTTAAGTCTAATAAGACTGCAAAGTCATAAAAAAATTCTGTGTAAACACACCATGTGCAAGAAAAAACCTTATTTTAGAAGTTGGCAATGGAATTGCATAGTCTTTTTCCAAATATTTGTTGTTTGTATTTGGAACTGTATGATTCCCATTTTTTGAGTAATTTTGAGTTTTTAATGAACATTTCAGGTTTACAAAAGGAAAACGGATGCAGCCAAGAAAGAGTATCTGAAAGCGTTAGCAGCCTACAGAGCAAATCAACTCTCAAAAGTGAGTGAATTGTTACTGGTTCGTCCTCTGTGGGTTTTTGATTTCCAGTCTTATTTATTTCTTTCTTTTCTTTGTTTCTCATCAGTCATCTACTGAGGTGGAGGATAGCGCTCCTTCTACTCCTCCCTCTGTCCCCTGTCCCGCACCCGTCACTTCTGCTCCTGCTGCCCCTGCCCGTCCACGGCTGACGCCCATCCCTGAGCAGAACACCATCACCAACATCTGCGCCTCCAATATCATCCTCGACGGGCCTCAAGTCACCACCCGTTCCCGCACGGGCTCTCTACCCCTGGCCATCAGCCAGCCCCCGACCCCCACTGTCACAAAAATCATCATCTCCAAACAGATGCTGGGAGGTTCTCAGATCCACCAGATCCCCACGTCCATGGTGACGGTGATTCCGGCCGGATTGCGAGCCGTGCAGCCGGCTGCTGCTGGACGACAGCCTCCACCGCTGCAGCAGATGCAGGGCACCCCACCACCACCACGTCTGCAGCAGATGGTACAAACACAAGCCCCGCCTCCGCTTCAGGCCAAGCCCCGTGGAGGGGCAGGAGGCTCCGTGGCTGTCACGGCTACACCACCTCCACCTCTTCAGATAAAGATTGTCCCTGCTTCTTTACTCTCCGACCTCTCCACACCGATTATTGTTACTACAGCTACAAGTGCTAATCCTGTTATTGCCTCAACCACCATCTCAGCCTCAGCACATCCCGCCCCTGTTGAGGTTGAAGAGCCCAGAGAGGAGTTGGTCACTGGGACGGATGAGGCTGTGACGGAGGAACCCGAAGAGGTTCGTTTTTCCCTTAATTAAAGGGATAGTCCACCTAAAAATGAAAATTGTCATTAGGCCTGGGCGATAAAACGGTATCGATATTTATCGACGGTACACCTTCTTCGATAACGATATACAAATTTTTCGATATAGTTAGGTTGTATAATAACGATACATCCGTTATTATACAACATTAAGTGTTTTGCTGTATGGGAGGACAAGTGAAAGTTTGCGCATTGTGTTCATAGCCATCTGTTTGCCTTGTAGTACATTAAATAATAACTATATATCGAATTTGATCTTTTAATTGCACTTAATGTATCTTAATACATTAAGCCATGTTAAGTGTTTATGTTTTTCTACAGGAGGAAAACGCTTAGCGAGAGACTTTGCGCATTGCGTTCATATTCTGCTGTTCTGTGGCCACGGATTTGCGGGTCTTGTCTTTTTCTTGCAGGACCCTGTAGGTTACGGTACTAAATTAGTTTTAATCATTAAATCACCACCACAGTGTCTTGTCTCCATTGGCAACACGCATGATTTGTGTCGATTGCAAGTGACATCGCAGGTAGCAGAGAGTGCAGTTATTTTGCTCATTGCGCCCTCCTGTGGCCTCGGGAGACAAGCTAAAAGATACCTTGAGACCTATTTAATCTGCATATAAAACATATGTGATATTTAATTTGTTTTAAACTAAATTAAGTTTCACTGTTAAAACTACAAATATTTGTTGTTTGTCTGAATAAATGGGCTAATTTAAAAATAGTTAAATGTAAACTTTTTTTCTATTTACCCTTTGTTTTAAAAAAGGTTATAAAAAATGTCAATAATTATCGATACCGAACGATATGAAACATATCGTTGATACATTTTTTAGCTATATCGCCCAGCCCTAATTGACATACGTTGTTTCAAAGCTTTTTCCGAAAGTGTCGTTACCCAACTATGGTTTCTGTTTCCTGAAACCATAGTTCAAATGAACATTTGCATATAGCGTCGCAAACTTATGTGGTTCCACCACCTGTGCATGATGTCGTTAATGACAGTCCTATATTGTTCAACCAACATGGTTTAAACAACCATTTTACAACAGTTTCAGGAAACAGACCCGAGTACATAGTTGGTTAGTTTCTTCAACGATGCTTCACATTATAGTACTTGGTGAGGAAGTTACCCCTGTATGACCTCTGTATCAGCACTGTATGACTTTGTTCTTTAAAATATCTTCTATTATGTTCTAAAGAAGAAAAGTGGTCACCGAAGAGTTTCAGTTCCCACTTCATACAAACTTCTGTTGTATGAACCAAAAATACAATGGAAGTCAAAGGCAACTGAGTTTTTATTTTTGGGTGACTATTCTTTTACTATTAAGAGCTACTGTAATTGAACTTATTAGTAACAGCCATAAAGGAAAAGATTAAAAGATCAAACACGAGTTATGTTCTTCAGAGATGTTTTATCCCTTCTTTTTCAGATGGAGATGGAGGTAAGTGTTGCTCCTGAGGCCTCCTCTTCAGCTCCTCCTACAAATCTCTGTGTCCGTGCTGGATGTACAAACCCTGCCGTGGAGAGTCGAGACTGGGATAAAGAGTATTGCAGCAATGAATGTGTGGCAACACACTGCAGGTTTGTTTTTTATGTGCATGTGCTTGTTTAAATTTTTTTTTTTTTTGTAAGGTGGTTTTTGTATGGCCAGATTAACATGCTAATTTCACTATTTACTCTCTTAACAGGGATATTTTCATGGCCTGGTGTTCAATCAAGGGCCAGAACTCAGCCACCGTCAAATAAATGAGAATCCTCCTGTTTCTGGCCCTTAACATGCCTGGATGTCTTTTTATGTGAACAACAGAAGTTTACTGGATTTCTGAGTGAAGGTGTAGTGTTTTTGTTGTAAATAGCTAAGGCATGAAAAAAAGCAGTGGAAAAATCACTCCCCAGCTTGTTTGTTTTCCACACTGAAATTGTCAGAAAAGGACCTATGTGATTGTAGTACTTTATTTGGACCATATTTTTTTTCCACTCAGTTTTGCTCCAGTGATTTATTTTTTTATGTGTGTTTCTAGTGATTTGTGTTAAAGTGGGACAAAATCCAAACCTTTGTATTATATTCAAATATAGTAGTTTTGATTATGATGAAAAATGTAAGTGTTAGTGAATCTCAAGTAATACTATCATTCTGGAATTCTATTTTTTTTTTTTTAATGCAATTTTCTCATGTTGTACTGACAGTATCTTAGATCAGTGTTCAGAAGTGCTCTCATGTCAAATCTTTTTGCCTTAGTTATGGGGTTTTGCGGACTTTTTTTTTTTTAGATTGTGTTACAGAAATGATTCAAGTATTAATAAAAGGCAGCCAAAATGGTTTAAGTTTCTGAAGTCATTGCTAACCGACAACTTTGAAATTAAGTGTTTTTTAGTGCACTATAAAAGGCGTCTTTGTCTACCGGTGACTATTCAAAAATATATTCAGATAAAATATAGTATAGAAGCCAATATAGTAGAATTGTTTTTTTTAATCTGAAAAAAAAAACAAAAACAAGAAAGTGCTCTCTTTTTTTTGTTCACAAAACATATTTATTGTGTTAAATATGATTCACAAACTTTTTCTTCCCTTTGAACTAACAAGTTTATATTTTAATATTTTAACATTCACATAGCCATAGTTCTCGCATGTCGGTTAATGGTTTCATGACCATTAAACAAAATGCAAGTAATAAAATATTTCCTTTGTGTGTTTTATTTTGGTTATTTTAAATCAATTTTATTATTTTTTATATATATATATATAAAAGGATGATTTAATTATTAGCATTTCATCAATATTCTTCACGAACCCTCATCTAGATAATCAGTTCAAGTGCAAGGTTACTTTGAAGGAACAAATACAAATGCTTTTTCATCCATCAATCAAAGATCCCAACATTTTTTTCTCCATTGCACTTCTGGAACAATTTTTCTTCAGTAAAATTTCTCAATTGAGATCACTGTCCATACTGGTCTCGTTACTGAGTCAAGTTGTATTACTCAATAGCAAGAAATTATATATGGTTGCTCCTTTCATCAGCCCAGTAAAAAATCAGCCCAGTAAACAAAGACAAGGTTATTGTTTATTCAAAAAGAAACTATATGTTTGTCAATGGCTACGAGGATGAGAATGGAAAAATAAAGTATAGTGAAACCATTTCTTTTGTTGGCTACAAACTCACAAATCTAAGTTACTACATGTTTGGTTTTTTTATATCAAACTAAAAACAAGTGATTGACAAAGCATAGCTGGTTAAAAAAAACACACAAAAAAAAAAATCTCCGGCAATTTAAGATTTAAAGGAAAATGTTTGCTTGGTCCAAACAAAGATATCACATTAAAATGTTAAAAAGCACATTTAAAAGATATAAAAATGGAAAAATGCAAGCAGTAGTGTTACAGCATTTTTTTTTAAATCAGCTTAAAGTGAACAAAGCGTGCTAAGAAAGTGAAGTTTTAAAAATCTCTGTAAAGTACAAATCACTTCAAAAAGGATTACAAAGACATATAAAGCCCTGTGAATCCTGCAGCATCCAGGAAAAATAAAGTATAGTGAAACCATTTATTTTGTTGGCTACAAACTCACAAATCTAAGTTACTACATGTTTGTTTTTTTTATATCAAACTAAAAACAAGTGATTGACAAAGCATAGCTGGTTAAAAAAACACACAAAAAAAAAAATCTCCGGCAATTTAAGATTTAAAGGAAAATGTTTGCTTGGTCCAAACAAAGATATCACATTAAAATGTTAAAAAGCACATTTAAAAGATATAAAAATGGAAAAATGCAAGCAGTAGTGTTACAGCATTTTTTTTTAAATCAGCTTAAAGTGAACAAAGCGTGCTAAGAAAGTGAAGTTTTAAAAATCTCTGTAAAGTACAAATCACTTCAAAAAGGATTACAAAGACATATAAAGCCCTGTGAATCCTGCAGCATCCAATCGTCTCCAGTGTTCAACCACACATTAACTTGAATGGGTCCAGACAAGCAAGTTAAAAGGTTTAGGTTGTTAAAAGTGTTATGACAGAAGATAAAGTCATTCGTTGAAAAATAAAGAGTTTAAAACCATCCTAGAACTATGATTTTAGTATTTACATCAAGCAAGAATCAGTCATACTTGTATTGGACTGCATGACTGCGCCCTCTAAAGCCCTGTATGTGTTACACTTTACACTTAGGGGCAAGATCCTAATGAAGAATAAAACGTTTGTATAGTATTAGCACAGATGCAGTCGGGGGCAGAGATTACAATAGAAGAAAACTGTCCAGAAACATTTGCAACATGACATAACGGAGAAAAAGTGAACACAAAATGAGTTGCCCTGACGTTCTTACTGCCATTGTGTGCTATATTTACCACCTGGATACAGTGGTTCTGATGTGAGGTAGAAATGTGGCCTTTGGTTTAGGTCACACACAACGTTTGTCATTTATTGAAGAGTTCGAAAGCTAACTGGCGCCGCGTGAGTGAGCCTGTGCTTCTCAAGGTTCTTGTGGATCCTAAAACCCTTTGCACACAGGTTACAAATGAAGGGCTTTTCACCTGTGTGAAAGCGCAGATGAGCCTTCAAATTGTTTTTGAGACGGAAGCCTTTCCTGCAGTGCGGGCAGACGTGAGGTCTCTCTCCAGTGTGGAAGCGCTCGTGTCTTCGCAAGCTTTTCCTCAGGGCAAATGTCTTTTTACACCTCCTGCACGAATACGGCTTTTCGCCTGTATGAAATCGCTCATGTCGCTTCAGGATCTTCTTGCGTTTGAACTTCTTGTCGCAGATCTTGCAGGCATAAGCATGTCCGTGTGTGAGAACACCCTGCAGGCGCCAAATGCCATTCCCGCAATCTTTAAAGCAGCACAGCCGACGTCCCGTATGGACACCCTGATGGGTTCGCAGGTCTTTGGGTGTAGAGAAGCATTTTCTGTTGGACCCGTTTGGCCTTTGTGCACTTGACAGCATCAGGAGATTCACAAGCTGCACAGAGCAAGGCCGTAACAGTTTGCAATCGAACGGCGTTTGGCTTAGCTGGAAACACACCTTCTTGGCATTCTCAGCACTGTTACCTGATGCCTGGCTGAGTTCAGTGGCCTCCGCTGGGGTTTTGCTGGACTGCGGAGGTTCTGTGAGAGGTGACTTTTCAACAGATGGCAAAGAACTGACTTCCATAAGGCCAAGGTCCCACTGGATCATAGTGTCGGTAGAAAGGTCTGCACTGGGAATGCTACCTAAAACAGAGCTGAACGGATGAGACTCTGGATCGACTACAGAGTGTGAAGAGGATTCCTCAAGTCCCTGAAGACCTAAAAAGAAATAGGGGAGTGAAATTAATTTCAGTCTCACAAAAATATATTAATTCTTTACTATTTTTTTGTAAAAAAAAAAAATTTTTAATAAAACATTAAATTACAGGAGCATCAAAGGGTTTATTTCCGGATAGAAAAACTACAATTTATGCATTTAACTTATGTAGTTCAGTATAGTTGGTTAGCTTTGTACAGTATAGGGCTGCACGATAAATCGAAATGGAATCGAGATCGCGATTCGACAGAAGCTGCGATTGTCAATGGAGCAGCATTTACTTCACAGAGCCGTAGTTCACTGAGAAGTTATGCAAACAGCTGTCATTATCACGAACGACTTCTTCGATTTCATAATCGCACAATAAAATCGTCTGCAATTTTTTTGCGTAACTTGTCAGTGAACTACGGCTATGTGTAGTAAATTCTGCTCCATCTAAATGCGCATGACAATCGCATTCGATTAATCGTGCAGCCCTAGTACAGTAAAACACTTTTAAATATAAATGATTATGAATGAAGCATGTCTGGTTTCCTCATACCATTTTCCTGAATTATCTCTGGTGTCTTTAAGTCATCTGTCCATGGGACTTCATGAATTAAGCCGTCTCCTCCACCAATCCCCTAAAACATTATACAATGCATGTGACTTGGTCAGTAAGGCAAAAGAAACAGAAATTACAAAGTTAACATACTACAACAAATTGCAATATTTTTCTTTTGCATTTACATTATATTAATCAGTTTTTACTCAATGTCATGGTTCCCAAATGGGGTTTCGTGAGGGAACTGCAGGAGGTTCATGAGGTTATGAAAAGCTTTTAATAAATTATATTCAATATAAAACAAAAAATAAATAAATGGGATTGCACAATAATCACAATATAGCTTTTACGTAACTTAAATTAAAGTCTTTGACTTAATTATATAACTGTATGGTCTTACGCGCTGCTTGTTTCTGAGTAAAGCACAGGCAAATCGTAATCAAGTGTTTTCAGAGTCTCGGTTCAAATTAAATGCAGTGAACTCTAGCTCTGCATGAAATGCAACATGTGCTAGGTTTACTTTATTTACACACTGCCAACGTAATTTCCAACCTTTTTGTAGTGAAAAGTTTAAAGCATTTCACCAGCATTTTTCCAAAATAAAAGAATGAGAAATATTAAATAACCTCATGGTTAGAATGTTTTAAATTGAATAATTTAAGACAAATATTAGTCCTGAAAATTGTAGTTTAAAACAAATTATTTTAATTATTATAAAATAACATTTATTTTACAGCACCCTTGTCATTTACAACAGTAATGTTCCGGTCTTAATTTTTAGAATTAGCTACAATAATAATAATAACAATTAGTAACAATAATAATAATAATAGTAATAATAATTACAAGTGTGAATGTTTGGACTGAGACTCGCACCTAAAAAGAGCTTTGAGTCAACTTTAAAGTCCAGTCCAAAAAAGATCAAATATTTGATCCATTTACTTGCATGTCATATAACCAATAAATTACACCAGAAAACTGTGAACATGCAAATGTTTTGTAAAAAATATTGATAAATTAATTTAAATTTCAGGTTTGAAATCTAAGATGTGTAATGAATATTATTTCATCAAAGTTGAACATTTCATTTAAACCTAATAAGATAAAGTAAAAAATCAGCACCACCTACAGTTTCTTTGAAGATAGTGCATGGAAGGTCAACCATGCATTGCAAATCCACAGCTTCTGGAGACTCTTCGCAGAGAGCTTCAGAGGGAGAAAGCCCCTCCTCTCCTTTGGATTCCTGCAGAAAAATCTCGTCTCTCTCAGTGGACGTGCACTGATCTGAATGGGGTTTGGGGGTGGGAAAGAATACAATATGTTACAATTCAGAAACATGAGAAACCTGGTCTGTGTCAATTACAGTGCTGCTGGCGTTCTTAAAGCACATTATTTCGAGTTTTAAGAGCACATTGTCCTTTCAAATATCATTTGAACTTTTGAATTTGAAAGGTGCCCGAGTCTGAGAATCAGCTCAGCTTTACATGGACAAGTGAATAAAAAAAACAACAAACAGGTTTATAAACTTTGTTTTGCCAAAACATTTTTATTATATAAAAAAGTCATATCATGATGATTAATTATTACTCGTTTTAAGAAAGGTCACATGCACAAATTTATTTTTGCATGAAAACTAAGCAATGGTCTGCACAATATAAACTGCTGCAAAGATGGACTTTAACCTTGAAATATCAAGTCAACAGACTGTTGCGACTACTTTTAAAATTATGGCAAACCATTCTAACCTTAAAACTAAACAGTATTTATTTTTATGTTACTTGCTATTTTCAAGCAATCCAATAGTGAATAATGCATTTTCAGTTTCAATAAGTAACTATTTGACAGGAGTACTTATTCCAACAGTGACTTTAATCTATTCATTTAGTTTAATTAATTTACTCATGTCATTCAGTTTAGAGTATAACATGAATCAGCAAATCATATATAGTCCTTATATAGATAGATATTACTAATAATAGATACAGATAGAAAAAAAGAAAAGAGATACATTTGGCTTGAATGAACACACTATATAACAAACCAATACGCATTTACTTCACTTCAATGCAGGGTTGCACTAACATTCAGCATACCACTATGCAGAAATGTTACTTAAAATATCAGTTCAGTAGGTCTAATATTTTGGTCTAACGAGTAACAAGTAATGAAGTGCTAGGTATTAGGTTGTCTAGCCTAATAAATTGTAACGAAATACCACTGGAATAGAGACTAATAGCAAAAGAAGATGAAAGTTCTATCTAATAAACAGTTACTAGGAAAATTAAACTATACCAGCAACTATAATAATAACAATAATAATAAAGAAAGAACGAAATACCAGTGACATAAAATAGACACTAGTTCGTTTTAAGGAATATATAATTCAACGGCTTGCCACATACGATAGACCCAACTTCCGGTCCACTCCTGTTGAATTCAACAAATGTGGAAGTAAAAACCAGCTCCACGCACAGCTAGAGAAGTGGCTGTTGTTTACGCCGAGAAACATACCCTGGTGGTGGGACAGCAGTGTCTCTCCTACTTGCACACCGACGCTACAAACCATCTTGTCAGAGAGATTAGTCAATGCACTTTCCATATGAGCCCTGATGTCAGGGACACACACTAGATTTTCCTTGATCTGAGCTTCTCTATCGACCGTGCAGCCATGGCAATCCAATGCGCGTCCTTCGAAAACTTTCGTTATCTCCACGACGGCCACCTTCAGTAACACCTCCATAACGGCCGCCACCTCAGCTTGAAACCTGGACACGGACTCGGACATTTTGCTCGCGGTCTGAACATGCACAATATTAGTTACAATGTATAAACAAACGGATCGATTGTGCAGTCGTTTGTGGTCATAGCCACATGGCTAAAATGGAAGTAATGGGCGTGTCTGATGACATTCCACAATGACGTATGCACGTACACATTGGTGGCGCCAAATCCAGACGTCGCTTCTGGAATGTTGATCACAAAATTTTGGTGTCGGTTATTTGGTCATTTATTTTAGAATATCCATTGTTTAAAGTTTGTATCTTTATAGAAATGTAGTCCAAACCTTCATCTTGTTTGTACTGCATACGTGCTGACATAGCCTACTTTTTAGCAAAAAAAAAATTACTTAGGTATAATTATTTTTAATTGCATATTTTTATTCTATTTTTACATTGATGTTTGTAAAAAAAAATTTGCAAAATCAGGGATTTAAAGTCATGGTAAAGCTTTTCGGATATTTCCTTCCATATCGTGACAGCCTACATTCAAATCGTAAAAGAAATAAACATTAAATTCATCGGTTGTTAATGGGATTTTTAGATGTGGGCGTGGCACTCAAAAATGGAGGCAGATGAAAGCAAGGCGGAGTTTAAGCGGACTACATGATTGGAGTAGTCCAAGACAGGTTATCATCACTGGAAGATCCAGTTATAACATTTTGATTAAACATCACAAGATAACAAAAAAAAGTCTATAACATGATCCTTTAGAAAATATGGTGTTATCATTTCATGCCAACTTTATGCAGTAAAAACTGCAACCCCGTAGAAAATTAATACAAAATAATACAGCTAATATAAAAATTTGTTTGACCTCCTGACTTCCTTTGCTGTCCATTTGTTGAAAAAGTAATGAATGAATTAATAAATAAAAAGTTTGTTGTACCCTATTTGTGGAAAGTGCCACATTTGGAACAAAGCAAATAAAGTCAGAATAATGAGGCAAAAATAAGAAATCACACAACCACATCACAGAGACACTCTTGCGATATCTATGTGAAATAGTAAACCCTTGTGACCACAGGAGAGAGGCAAAACATATTTTGTACCAAAAGTATAATCTACTAGGACTATATGAATATCTGTATCCTCTGCATGACATTACATGGTAAAATAGAAAAGAAACCCAGTGCCATGTTCTGGATATGTAAAGTCCGTATTTGATTCTAAAGACAACAATAACCTAGCCTACTAGAAGCAGATCCATAGTCTCTTTTTTGTAATGTCTCATAAAAACTGTGATTTACAACACTTTATTCCAATCTGTTTTTATTTTAAGACTTAAGAGTTAAACCAAGTTGTCTTTATTACAAAAAAAATAAAACATTCATGTTTCTTTTTCAGTAGAAAACGTGTGATTTACTGCACTTTTTAGACACAGAAGGAACGCTGGACAATCCCTTCTCTGTCTAATGTCACATAAGGTCACATCCTGTCTTAACAAAGAAAGAAGGTATGACGAAAGACCTTGAGGAAAAGCCTGCTTAGCACCTTTAGGTCCTATCACAGTGGGACAAACAATCCATCCACATATTAATACAAATAAACATTGAGACAATAACAACAAATTTAACAGATGGATGTACACTTAAAATAATCTTACTGCTCCCTCTGACTATCTTACATTTTTGGTTAAATTTTTATGCTTGAAAGTCAGTTCCTTTTTTCCAAATGTATTAGTGGTTATTTAACTGCCAATTACAGTATGTCCTTATGAATGAAAGAAATGGATGGCAACAAACTGAAAGGAATACATCTTTTGCTAATGATTTTGGTTTTTAGAAGTGATGTCAACATTTGGAAGTGAATATCTGAAGGTTTGAGAGAGAGCGTGGTCTTTGAATAAAACATTGGGTCAATGGGAGAGAGAATGATGAACGCATTCCTAGATATGCGTGGAAGGTCACAGTTAAACGCTGACATTTTTAACCTCGTGATATCCGACAAAAAAATAACGAAGGAATTTTTATCACGTATCACGTTGATGATTCAGACAGTTGCAATTAAACAGACTTTAGTTTGGATAATACATGTAAAATGGTAAGAGTTTAATCATCGTCGTCGTCGTCGTCGTCATCATCATCATCGTCGTCATCGTCGTCGTCATCATCATCATCGTCGTCATCGTCATCATCATCGTCATCATCATCGTCGTCGTCATCATCGTCGTCATCGTCATCATCATCGTCATCGTCATCGTCGTCGTCATCATCGTCGTCGTCCTCGTCCTCATCATCATCATCATCGTCGTCGTCATCATCGTCATCGTCATCGTCATCATCGTCATCATCATCGTCGTCGTCGTCATCGTCGTCGTCATCATCATCGTCGTCGTCGTCATCGTCGTCGTCATCATCTAGCTCGTCGTCATCAGGATCAATTTTGTTCTCTAGCACATCCTCCAGCCAATCCTCCAACTCATCAACTGTTGGCATGTCATCGCCATCATCCATATCAAACCAGATACTCTCAGCCTGCAGAAGACACAACAGCTCAGTCTCGAAAGACACAACACAGCAAATAAATCCTACTGTGAGAAACTTACATCATCAACCTCCACTACACCAATCTGAGGTGAGGACAGGTCAATGTCGAAGGTCTTCTCCCAATAGGGGACAAGCTGCAGGCCACAGAGATACTCTCATCACTGCTTATGTACTGGTATCTACTTTCACAACAAGGATTATATTTGGAATATTCCACATTTCTTAACACAATAAAAGTCATAGGGTTACCAGAGGGAAGTCATCGGGGTCGATCCAGACGATGCTCAGGTTTGGATTGTCTGTGTTATCCTCTGCCACCTCCTTCACGATTTCAAGGAATTCAAAGCCATCTGAAGGAACCCCAAGAAAACCCCAAACGTTCAAGTGTCATGTTTTAAAATGACAGAGATCAATATAAGCAACTTAATAAAAAGATCTCATACCTGGGTCTCCCTCCTCAGCAAAAGCAATTATATGCTCGCCATCAAGAGCATCCTCCTGTCAGAAAATGATGGTTACAGTACATGAAGGGAAACATCTTGTGCTCTGTTACTACTACAAATCATGAGATCACATCTTGGAATACCTTTATGATGTCTTTGATCCTTCATTAACTCAGAATATAAGTCTAGCAACAGTTTCTAATAGATAATCTTGTGAATATACTGCATGTTTATGTCCTGAAGGAAATCACAGTGCTTGCAAGGCAGCATAAGAAAAGTGTTTTCTGAAAGATATGGACCCTTTTCACAGACTATGATGATGTGTTTCTGCAATAATTACAGTGGGTACGGAAAGTATTCAGACCCCCTTAAATTTTTCACTCTTTGTTATATTGCAGCCATTTGTTTTTGTTTTTTTTTTTTTTTAGTTTTTTTTTTTTAAATACTTTTATTTTTAAAGCTACACTTTGTAAACTGTCCCTTTAATGGTAAAACAATCAAGCTAAATTCGTCTTACTGGAGAATTTGGTTTGTTGTGTTTTGACACGCCGATCTACACAGAGATACAGGAAAGAGCTATTTTAGTATTGTTGAGATACTATAATAGTTAGATTTTTTTTTTTTTATATATATATAATTTTAGTTAAAGTTTTAGTAATTTTGTTTGTGTGTTCTTGTCATTTTGGTAGTTTTTGTTTAATGGTTTTCATTTTAGTTTTATTTAACTATAATAACCCTAATGCAGCACATTTCCTCAGAGCGGATGGACAAATAAATAATGTGTTTTTTGTATGTTTTTTAGATTTCCGTTTTGAATGATCTATGGCTCATTTGTTGTAACAAGAAACCTTCAGCTTCTACCCACAGGCTAATGACGTATGTATGCAATTTTCCTGTGAAATCTGTCCCAACTGGACAGTATAAATCAGTATTTTAGGTTAACCAAGTGTATTTGGATAAAGTAAAGACAGTTCGGAAGGTCAAATAGTTACATAGTGTAGCTTTAAAAAAGTCAACGTACATTTACATCACCATACTTTTCATTACACACCCTTGGCATTAGATTATAGACGGTTAAATCAAGGAGGTCTGTAATACCTGGAGAGAGCTATCCATTAGCATTCCCATTCATCTCAATGGCAGAGTGAAATTATCAACAAAACAAACTTTGAAACGATTCTGTATGTGAAGTGGTCAAGCTGAATTTATTGTAGCAAACTGTCAAAAAAAAGAAGAAAAACAGAATGTTTCAGCAATATCAAGTGTTGCCTTGCAAGCACCGAAAAAAAAAAAAAAACCTGTTTGACTGACACAGCATCAGCTTACCCAGATCTCATACATGTTGTGTGGCTGCATCTTCCTCAGTGTTGGCCTGTGGAGACATTTTCAATCATATTCACTAATGATTTTATTTCTCAATTTAAAGCATTTTTCACATCAGTCAACACACCTGTCATTGTCCTCAATGAATTCAACAAGTTCTTTCTCACTGTAGGGTTTACCAGGGATGACGACGGGTTCATCCATGAAGGGCTCATAGAAGTCCACCTCATTCAACTTCAAGTCTAGAGACTTAGCAACCTGCAAACAGGGATTGCATAGTTTTCATAGTTTTAGAAAATTTCCCAAAAGCAAAAGTTAATTTGTTTATTAAAACTCCACTGCTAGAGTGAAACTACTGCCATCTTAAACATTCAGAAAGTCCTTTTAGCATAATTAAAAAGATCAAGAGGAGATAAGATAAGATATAAAACCTAAATATCACCAGAAAGTCCAATGCAGTTGGTAGATTTCTGATAACTACCAGGATTGTGTAAATTATGTTTACATTAGTTACCTTTGGGCTAAAGGTGGCAAAGAACTTGATGTGTGGATGAAACTCCTCTGCTGCGTCTTCATATTCATGGTAGTCTAAAAATCACAAGACCACAGGTGAACTTCTCAAACAGTTTATACAGTATGTGGGGGAAAAAAGCCCATTGCATGGCCCATTTGGATACGTACGCTCAGATTTCTGACTCTTGAAGAAGCCCACCAGCTTGATATCCTCCTCAATATTATGGAAACCTTTCAACTCTCGCACATTGTCAATGATCTCAACTGGATCCTCAATGACCTGGGAAAAGAGTTGATTAGAATGGGGGGTAATGACAAGTTGACTCCTGACACTGAGGACTAAGCGTGCATG